TGTTTGATATTATTAGTTTTATACATCAATGGTCTATGGATTATTTTGGTATTGCGGATACGATTCGCACGATATGAGTATGAATTATATCGATTTTTATTGGTTTGGATGTTTTACTATAGGTACCTATGGTTATATCACGATCTGTATATTTAAATATATATATCATTTGTCTAATGCTCATAGACACTCTGCTTAGTTTGTGACTAAAAGTCTCTATAGTAGATTTCAGGGTAAAAATTACTGTTAAGTCTAAGCTAAGGTATATTTCCTCGTCAGTTTTATATCCTTACGTTGTATTTATCTAATCGTGTTGACTTCCATTTCTTTTTAGGAAACATCTAGTTCGATAAATAATAAATGAAGTTTGAAAAATAAGAAAAAACACTATGTAAAGGGTTCTTTTTATCTTTTTATTTCTGAACCCTAAAAACGAATCGTAAAAATGGCAAAAAAATCTATGAATAATAGGTTATTGTGTTTTGAAGGACATTTCAATGTAACATTAAATGTTGAGTTTTTAGGTAGGTAGGTATATATAATTTATAATAATTGTATAATTTGTGATTTCTTTGTTAACACTATACTCACAAATATTTCAGTAAAAAAAAAAGAGAACCATAGTAGGTATATCTAAATACGATATCTAATGTACTGAGAAAGATGAAAATAAAAAAAATATTTTAAGAGAAAAATCTTTACATCATATTGATCTAGACATTAAAAAAGAAATCGATATCATACAGGTTCATTACCTAAATAAATAAAATATAATAAGTCGACAAATAATCTATCACATATGTAGTTAAATGAGACTAAGTAGGTATTATGAAGACGAAAAAGAATTTATGGTATACATATGTATCCCATAAATTTAACGCGGCTCCTGCCCCCAGCATGGGAGGGGCGAGACTTGCAAAAAACGTCGGCACTCGTCCAAGCAAAGATAGGCGATGCAATCCGCCATTATAGAAAATTGGCTGTGCGTCCCCTTCGAAACAGGGATATGTGATTAACAGTATATGGGAGTCGAAAATGTTTTGGATTTTTAAAAAAGGTCTGTTATAATTCTGTGTTACAATGTTATTAGTAAGAATCCTCTAAATATATTCTCGAAAGGTAGGAAGTAACTAACTTATCTGATTGTTAAAAGGAAAACCGTATATTTATATAGATACTTAGGTATAAAATAAATAAAATCCAGATTTATAATAGTCATTACAAAACCTATGAAAATTCTTTACTTAGGGAACTATGCATCTAATAATTACATACACACAACTAAAATTTCATATATTATCAGATATCATATAAATTCTATAAAAAATTAGTCACTCATATAGGTAGATTTATCAAATATATTTTGATCATCTAACGATTTGAATTGTGTACCTAATCGTATAATTGAATAATTTGGTATTGAATATCTCAGTTGACCTTTTCAATTTAATTTCATACAACACTGATTTTCTTCCAGGCAAATGATTGAAATAGCAATTGTTTGATGTAATCAAATACTGTACACATATAAGATTTAAGTACTATATGTAGGTTTGTTATAAGTTTTTTTTAATATGAATGTTATCTAACGACGGAATTCTTCCATCATTCCATCTACGCATAAATTACTTCCTTATTCCGTGACTGTATCTAAAAGCAAAACAAGAAACAAATAATAAGATCAAAGTCAGCTAAATAGGTTTTTCTCCAGCTGGGAGTTTAAGAAACAAAATGACGGACAAGCTTTAATTTGTTCAATGTAAATTGAAACATTGGCGGTACAGTTAAGGTATAAAATAGCGTAGCATGTTGGTTAGGGAATCCAAAGTTTGATTAAGGGCCTGTCGTATTGTTCATTAAACTTGGATTAAGTTTGCGCTGGATGGAACGAGCTGGCAGGCAGTTAGCGTCGAGAAAAAACACAACAGCCATCGGGGGTAAGTAACTTCACGGAAGAAACTTTGTTGCGATAAGAATGTCTTTTGATCGACATTGATATAAATAGCTATCTTCATTCGCAGTATTGGTTGCTTTAAAATGTTTTTAAAATGTAAACACTTTTTTAAATTCTGCCAGTGTTTTTCCTAAATTAGATTTAAGCACGTAGTTTATACATAGATTGAATCATATATGGGCATACCTAATAATAACGAGATAAATTGTGTATATCACATTTGTATACTAAATACGCAGTTAGGCGTTGTAATTTTATATAACAACCCATATTTTATGGTAATGGAATGGTGATATCCCTTAAATAGTAGGCGAGTAAATGAAATTTGGCTTGGTAATCATTATGACTTCACCAATAATGAACCATCACTATTTCTAAAGGGTAGGTATTGGATCGTGATGAGGCCGGCTTGAAACGGTACTAACCAACCCCTTATCTCTCCACTACTTGATACGGATTTTTAAATATAGTAAGATGATTTTTAATTCGAGTTACAACTTGCAAATTTTATGTTAATATTGAAACTACTAGTATTAGGTATATTAAATATTCTACGATTTTTTATAGGTTCTAATTATCTAACATTTTTCTTATCTAAGGGAACAATTATTCTCTAAGAAAAGGAATAAGAAAAAACAGATTTTCTTTTAATTTTAAAACACTAAATTATTTAATTTAGTGATTTAAAATTACCATTAAACCTACGTATCAAAATAAAAATAAGAAATATAGTTTATTGTTAAAACATATTATAAGCCAATAGGCTTAGCTAAACTACCAATACAATAATTATATAGAACTATTTGTTTTAAATTTATGACTTAAAAAGACTCATTTAAACTTATATATTTTATACACTTTAAATGTATAACATATGATATTAAGCTTCCCAAACCTACCTTATTAAAAGCATCGTGCACAAGATACACATCTATTATTGATCAAACGTTCATTGATCGGGTGTTACCACCTTTTGTGGCTGCAGCCGCTAGCCGGTTGGAAGCCATGACGCAGCAGTATAGAACAGATGACCCTGCTCTTACTATTGTGATCATCTAATTCAATAAAATCACCAGACATTTTTGTTTATTTGTTGTTGGTGGCTCTTTGTCGGACGGTCTCAGTATTGTGGCGGCTTACACTATGATTCTGAGACCATGATTTTTGTTTTTGAAGGATACGCTTGATAGTGAGGTAATCCCTATGACAACGTTGGGATTATGGTGATCGTACATGACATTCAAGTTGTTATGGACAAAGCTATAGGTAAGTGTGTACTATTTTGTATCTTTATTTAGGTTCTGGACAGTGAAGGACTGGTAATCTCGTTTGTACTAATCTAAGGTCATCTAATTCAATAAAGTCACCATATATTCTTGTCTATTATTTGTTGGTGGCTCTTTGCGGATGGTAGTAGTATTTTGGCGGCTGACACTATGAGTCTGAGATCATGATTTTTGTTTTTGAAAGATACGCGTCATAGTGAGGTAATCCCTATAACAAAATAGGGATTATGGTGATCATACACGACATTCAAATTATTATAACCAAAGTTTGAAAGTTTAAGTGTGAACTATTTTGTATCTTAATTTTGGTTCTGGATAGTGAAGAACTGGTAATCTCGTCTGTACTAATTCAATAAAGTCACCAGATGTTCTTCTTTATTTGTTGTTGGTGGTTCTTTGTCGGCCGGTCTTAGTATTGTAGCGGCTTAAATTATGATTCTGAGACCATTTAAAATATACCATATAGAGGTTACCTCACTATCAATGTGAGGTCTATCTATGACAACATTGTGATTAAAGTGATCGTACTTACATGTTATTGAATTTATTGTGGAGAAAGCTGTAGGTAGGTGTGTGTCTGTGTTAATATAATAATATTGTTTAACTTAGTCTAGCATTAATAGAGAGTAAAAAAACGCCAAATCAGTCAATTAAATCAGACCACATTAGGTATGGAAGAGAATTCACAAGAAATTAACCATGTTTCAATGGCGGATGCGTGGAGGTCGAACTAATAGTCCACTGATCAGCAGTAGGAGTGCTTACTATATTCATATATCTATTTAGGTACAAAGGTATAGGATGTTTGTAAATTATTTAAGATTTTGACTCCTAATACTTTCAGATAAAATGAGAAGACTAATTGAAGAATCAATTATTAAATTCTGTAAATAGGTATAGTTTTGATTATTTATATCTACTCCTAATGCATGCTGGGAAGATATATAGGCAGGTACTACTACTATTGCACTTTATTATTGTTCTATTTCATTTATTAATAATTTTATAATAAAGAATTTTGCTTCATACAAACATGTAGAAGTATGGATTTTTAGTAAGTTATATATAGGTACCTATTTAGATTACTATTTGCTGCCTATGTATTCATTATTTAGACTTATGTTATACTTGCGTCTTATATAGACTTACTGCAACCAGTACCTAAATTATATCGTTGACATTATTTTATTCAAAACTATTAATATTGATTATCTTCTAATTATTGTCTACATTGTCATCCATTATTATAATAATTCACTAGTAGAGACACTACCCACTAGGTATAATGAAAAACTAAAGGAAATTGGATATTAAATATTTAAAATGCCGCGTCGTTAGGAACAGAGACCATGTTCGTTTTGTATTATTATTAAAACAGCTTCTTTAATACCATCTATGCAATAAACCAATACTGAATCTCTTTCTCGTTTACCCTTCGCAGAAGCTCTACTGACAGACAAGGAGAACTATAGCTAAACTCTTTTTGTTTGAACTTGTCGTAAATATTTCTATTTCATTCGCACGTATACAGCTGTTAATAAGTGGAAGGGGGAGAATTATTGTTGCGGTTTGATGCTTTAGAGAAGAGCCGTATTTCAAATTCAGCTTTAATATAGTAACTGTAAGGTTTAATTTTGGTGTTGTAGTTTTAAAGAAGACAGCATAAGAACAGCTCCGCCTTAAAAATGGAAGGTGGTATGTAAAAATTGATGAACATGTATAGGAGTCCTTAAAGTGACAGAGTGCGCTGGCGTGTTGGACAGTCAGTGTATATTGTCTCAAAATGTCGTCGCAGGATACCGCGTCTTCGACTCCATTGTTTATAATTAAAAAATGATGCATCAAAATGACTTTGCAAATACTCGGTTTTAGTAAAAGATCGTAAATTTTCGGAGTGAATGACACAACGGAACTTTTATGTTTTGTGACAGTGAAACAGTTTAAAGTGGACTTGTATAGATAAAAATAATATACCTTAGTGTAATTTTGTGACTATTTTTGATAACAAAAAGAATAATTAATACGAAGAATTCAGAAATAAAAGCATAAATAACTTTAGTGTGATATTTGAGCATAAAGTGATACAAAAATTGTGTGTATTCATTACAGAATAGATTCTTAGGTATTTAGACTTATTTATCAAATTAACATCTTATTTTAAACACTTAAATAGATTGGTTCCAAGAGACATTGTGTGAGCAGTGTATTTTTTTATAATTACTGAGTTTTACTTATTGATCTATATTATTTAGGATAAAGTTATCTACATACAGAAGGGTTTGAAGACCAACCACTGTTGCTCCCAGATTAACAAGTAATTCCTTCAATACACAGACATATTATCTATTATGCTTAACTTGTCTTCCCTGTATGCAAAACTACAAGATATTTCTACAATTAACTACCACTGCTAAACTATAACTGTTTGTCAATATTATTATGATTGGTTACCGGAATATAAAAAGAAAGTAAAACATTATTTACAAGAAAGGGTATAAAATTAGTATGTGCCTGTGACGTTTGAATGGCGGCCATATTAACAGGCGTGTTGAACGAGAGGTGATGCGCCGACTCGACCACGCCCACCATGAGCTCCTTCCTCATGAACGGTGGATACCAACCGCAACCGGACCCCAAGTTCCCGCCTTCCGAGGAGTACAGCCAGGCAGACTACATACCACCAGGGGAGTATTACCAGCACCAGCATCTTCAGTATGGATATCAGCATCAGTACGCACCTGTGCAGATCGGAACAGGGTACGGTTATGGGGGATACTATCACCCATTGCCTCAGCACCCACCTGTGGCTCCTCCGCCCAGGCCTCCTGAGCCTTCTCATCCATCTGATGCAGATCATGGATACGTGCCACCACATAGCGGAGAAGTGGCTCCAGGCCTCGCTGAGCTTGGGTTGAGATTAGAGAGACATATCGAAGAAGCAGCGCCAGCTGGAAGGAAACTTCATGCGCTCGGCCGCGAGGGGTCACCAGTTTCGGAAATGGATGACGAGAGGCTCTTGTTAGATAGTCCGCCGGTGGAAGATGACGATTCTTCCATATGCTCCGACAACACCGATAGGGTCATTTATCCTTGGATGAAGAAAATACACGTTGCTGGAGCATGTAAGTAATTAATAGTTGTTATAACCTAAGTCTAATAATCTTCATTCTCTCTATTCTATCTATCTATTTTGATTTTGATCAAATACAAATGGACCGGCAAACCTGACTTAAACATTTTAACTTTAGAAAAGATAATGTTAATTTTTAGAATTGGAATTAATATGTATCTACATTATAAATATGTAGATACATATTTATAATGTAGATACATATTAATAAAACTGGTAGAGCTTCTATTGTGGAAATAGTTTGTGCAAAACAATGAATCTTGGATGATGCATATCATAAGCAGCTATACACGTACTTATGTAATGACTTGCATATATTTATAATATTATACCATAAAGAAACATACTTTATATATATATTTTTTATATTTACATTCCTAATGTATGTGAAAGTGGAACACTTACCAAAGTTGTAAATATTAATGTAAACAAAGCATGAAAACTGTAATTAGGAATGTAATTGTCGTACATTATCGCCATGTCCGATAAATAAAATATGTATAAAAAACATTTTATACATGCTTCTTGTGATGAGGTTAAAAAAAATGTTTTTACAATCCTTGTACTACCATCTTCCATTACCAACTACCATCCAGAAACTCACAGAGTTTCTGCATGGTAGTTGCAGACGCGGCTTAACCGATTTTAATGCGGTCTGAACTGATATTTTTAGCAAGTTTCTTATAACATATACCTAGGGTCTCTTTATTACAATCGGATTACAAACAAGGCTAAGTGGTATTTTATTTACGAAGAGGATTGATAGTGTAGGGATTAGTGACTACATACCTAGCAGGTTTCACGCAAAAACCACCGAAAGGATTTTGATGAAACTTTACAGTAATGTAGCTTATATTTCAGAATAACACATAGGCTACAAATTTAATACGGGTGAAACTGCGGGCACTGCTAGTAATATATAAATAAATAAAGTAACTGTTCCATGTCAGATCAACTTCCCATGCGGTTCCCATGGTTTGCAGAGACCATTTACATGAAATTATTTCTAGCAAATTCTCTACGATGCGATAACTGACTTCCATCATTCAAGGTGAAGTTACTCTATTGTTATTCTGAATTACATATTAAAAAAAATATCTCAAATGAAAATATAAATAACTGTTGTTTTTGTTTGCATTTTCTAAATGAAATTTTAAACTACTAAATAAAGTTGGGAAACATAACTCATCAAAATAAAAAAAATATATATAATAATTAAATTGACCTTAAAGTAAGATAGAATGTTAATAAGTACATAAGTATCTATACTTAAACTGATGCAATTACTATATAAGATACAATTTATTGTCATTTTCAAAATACAATGCAATTTAAAAATATCTGATTTTTATAATCTTCAGTAAAAAATAAAAATATAGTAGTAGATAATGAGGTAAACAAATTATGATGAGAAATATTTCCAAGATTCGAGAAGTTATACCTACCTATGCACTAATTGTATTATTCAATTGTAAATTTAAACAATATTTAGTTCGTGTTCTTGCATAATTTCAACATTAACAAACCCCTCGATAACGTTCCCAGAAAGATCATCATTATTACATCTTTGTGTCTATTGAAATAACTTACCTTTGACAGTCAATATGTCCTTTGGCCAAATTTTGAGCTCAAAATACCTTTTAAAATCGTATTATATCCGCGGTATATTCGTCAAAGAATTAACGAATTGCTTGCAATTAATAACACTCGTAGCTATTTACAAGGATCCTTTAGGCGTGTGTCCTTTGATGTGTTTTGACAGTTTACTAATGCGATGTCATTACTATTCTGTAAAAACGCCAGGTTCCCTTCAATTGACAATGGAGCCCAACACTCATGTTAATGAGTGTCATTTATTTTTATAGCTTTTAAATAGCTGTTTGTGGTTGAGAATTTACCGTAAAGATTATCGATATTTAGTTTTTGTAAGATTTGCTTCTTTTGATAGTCTAAGGATAACTTGCTTTTCATGGGCATCTTCTTCTATTCTTAAACTGAAATGCGCAATTTGTTGTGATGTCTTTTTTTATGTTCTTTTATTGAATTAATTTTTTTGTATATTATTTTGTTTGATGTCCGTATTTATTTTCGTAACGGTGCGGTGTCGCTTTATGCTTTTCAGAGTTGTGAATTATTTAGATACTAAAATGCTAAATATTTAGATTTTATGATTAGGTAGGTACCCTGTATAGTTTTAAAATTATTTCTAATTAAATATTTATTTCTTGTTTAATGAAATGGCAACATCCTTGTGTGTATAATAAGTTACTTTCGTGAATTATCCTTTGTAATGACATAATTATTTTTGTTAATCATATATAAATCTTTTTAACTTTCTGTTTTCTAAAAACCGTTTTCATGAACTTACGCAAGGACCCGTTCCTTGAGTAGTGTATTCATACTGTAATTATATATATTATTAATGATTTCTATCCTTTCCTAATCTACTCTATAATATCTGTTATATTGCACTGATAAACGGATACAATTTTTGGACTAATTATTAGGCAATCTCAATATATACCTATCTAATATAATATACATTATAGGTCACTTATAAGAGAGAATTAGGTAATACCAAAGTATTTTATTGATTGTATTTGTTGCCTGTATTTTAACAATAAATTTCTGACAAGCGACCAAACTAAACAGCAAAATCTCTATCAAAAATCATGCAAATTATGCACATTGTATGTTTAATAGTAGATGATTTGATGACAGATGTTTACAATGATATCTTAATATTGTATCCAATAGAATATATATTTTGTTATTTGATACATGACAAGTTGACGACGACAAGACGAAGTTCTAGAGGCTACATATTGTGATTTCCGTCATCGTAATTAGATACATGAGATCCATGCATGTTTAGTCGTTTGATTGTCCATGATGCAACATTTGAACATTCGCCATTTGTCGGGTCAAGAGCATTAATGAACCGGTTCCTTGATTGATGACCGATAAATTGCCAGCATCATATTCGCTGTTTTGTCGAGCCTTCGGGTCTTCCTTATCGACACCTGTCAATGGGCCAACATTTTTCAATGTAACAATAGTGGGACGATTCCAGATCTTATTCAACGTAATGAGGCGGGACCACCGGGCGGGCTTGATAGCGCTTGCGTCGCGAGATCGACTTGAGATTAACAGATCGCTTATGAGACCACACGTTCGTCGCAGGTAGCCCGTAATTCAATTCAGATTGTCATCGGCGTAGTGACTTGTATCGTCGCTAACGAAGCGAAGATGGAACGCGTGGAGCAGTAGCTGTGTAACGGATTTTGCAGTATTCGATTGCTGGAAATAATTATAATATTGCAATTCATATTAAGACTATTATGACAAAGTTATTTGAATTTAGAACGTATAGGTTGCAATGCTATTAAAATTACTTGTAAAACTATAGAAAAGAGGTATGTGTTTGTAAAAATGTGATAACGAGTGAAATTTTTGGGGAGCGCGTTTACGATGCTTTTGCTGTCCTTTATACCTTCAGTAGTAACTATAAAATCAGAATATATCTTATTTCATTCGTATTCATTATGAATTAAATACTAAGCTGCTAGATGTATTTGGATAGTTAGTTTTCTTCCACATTTATAACACTTTATACAAAACCTAGAATTTGCCTAGTCAAATACTTACTTAAAGTATCCATGAACTTAATGATATGTCGCTTAATCTATACAATAACATAACATAACAGCACTGATATTGTAGCAATTGAATGCCCTGGCTGTTTGCAAATGGTTGCAAGTTCTTACTCCTGATAAGACAATTTATAGTGATCATGTCCACGCATTTTATCATTTGTTAGCGTTGTAGTCTACAGACCTCGACTTACAAACCCCTTAATATCATGAGATATATTGCTGGATGGACCAAAATATGCTCATTTTAATTTTTTAGTAAACTTTCCGGAAATGTGACTCCACAAAAATTAAATTATCTTTATTCATGTAGATCTATTATAGACTAATATGATATGCCAAAATCTACCATCAGCTCGCAGTGCTTTCGAGCTGAGAAGAACTGATAAGAAACTCAGCTAATAATTACTCTTTTAAAATGTGATTGTAAGTAAATGTTAAAAAAAATTCATTGTGAATAGTATGACCATCATCAATAAACCAAAATAACTGAAGTTGATAGGCAGGCTTTTTGTTATATATACGTTTCATTCACATATGCTTTACAAAATGTGGACATTGCAAAGATTACTTTTCACGATAAAGTTGTCTGTTGTCAATAATTCAGAATAATCTTGACTAAAAATATTTTTATTGCCATTGGGTAACATATAAATACTATTTGTTGTCATTCAGTATATGAAATTTATCCATCACTTATAAATCAAAATGATCATTATTTCAGTCAATTAGATATTCTTATAACTTGTTATAAATATGTGAAATTTAATTTATCTATGATACATATCTTCTAATCTATTTAATATTATTATAATATTAATATCAAAATACAGGGTCTAGCCTCTGAATATGAATTTGTTCCATTCGGTGTCGAGACCCTTGGTCCGTGGGGTCCTAGCGCTATAAGACTTTTCAAAGAAATAACGAAAAGGTTAGTCGACATCACAGAAGACCGAAGAGCTGGCAGCTACCTTGGACAAAGAATTAGTCTAGCTATTCAAAGAGGGAACGCTGTCAGTATCTTCGGAATGTTGCCTAAAGGGACCCCTTTTAATAATATATTTTAGTCATCATATTATATATATTTTTTAAGCTTTTTAATTTTAGGTTCTTAGTTGTACAATTAGGTTATGTAAATAGTTAATAGTATAATTGCTAGTAATAAGTTAATATTTTTTTTTCATATTATGTAATCAAAACTTGTGTATATAATTTATACATATTATAATTATACAGTAGGCACTGTAGCTATTATCGTTCAACCCACGGACCCGGATCAATGTGGCGTCGTCATTCTGACCACTAGAAATCTCGGAACTCCGGCCAACCGCACATACCAGGCTGTCCCAAACCGCGGATTCTCTTGGAAATTCCACGGCCCCGGTCCAATATCTTGTCGCTATCTCTTTCTAGGCACTGCCCATTTGGGGTCACATTATTTTGTTTTTACTTTATACCTATCGGACGCATTTATTTTATAGAAATCTTTGTAATAGAAGTAAATAGCAAACTATTTGAGAAATTAAAAAAATGATTCATAAAGTCATGATCAAGGATTACCTACTACTCAAGCTTATAGAGCTCTGAGGTTAAGCTTTCAAATTTAATGGACACCAAAAGCATTTAGTTTCAATATACTCTTCTAATTCTATGTTCATTAAAAACGCTCATGAGAAACCTAATAAATCTAAAAATCAAATTATAGTAGAACCAAAACAACCGATTTACTGATTTTCTGCTAATTTCAATTTTAGGAAAGACGCCGTGAAGTCGTTTTTATTAACGTTTTTCGGTTATACTGATAATTCACTCAATTAATCCGATATATGGTGGTAGGCTCGCCCTTTGGCACGTTAGACACAAATAGGTATATCCAGCGAAATATGAGCATGTCAAGTGTTGCGTTCACCACGATTTTACGACTATTCCATTTAGGTTAACAGTCGTAAAGTTATGTTTGTCACTCAATTCAATATTGAGTTCGTAATAAAGAAAGTCATCACAAGATATGTTAATTAACTGATGGATATTATTATACACATGAGTATGTATATGTTAATGTAAGGAAATAAAAGAATAGAGTTAGTTTGAAAGTAGAGTAATTTCAATTTTTACATTTTTAAGACGTATAGGTACATTAGAACGATACCTCAACCAAAAAGGAGTGGGCTAAGGTCAGTAGATATGAAATAGTAATGGGATGTGCGATGCTTACTGCTTACGGCTTAGATTCTTCGAATATTCGAGCTGTGTTCATTACACGATAGGAAAAGTACAAATTGGTAGAAGCAAGTAAGGTTATAGAGGTCAATCAAATCGACCTTGGTTTTGCTTAGATGCTCTTTTATTTTTATGCACAACACAAACACGTAACCTTAATCCAAGGAGATAAACGCATACGAAGATACTGGTAGAGTAGGTATACTTCATTTTACGAGATTTTTATGTTTATTAGGAGATGGTCGCACGTCCTAAACAAGATTAAGTTATAACTATGGTGTTAGGGAATCGCGGTACTCAAAAAACATAAAAGCACTAGCTTCATTATTGTACACTACAATATTATTGACAATGCCTTGGATTATCCCTCTGATATTACAATTAATTCATTAGACAGATATTTCTTTAACAAAAAACGGCTAGTCGTATTCTTTGTAGGAATAATTGAGTCGAATACGGCAATTTCCGTCGAAGGAAATTAAAGGAATGCTCCAAATTGACTCGACAATGGCTTTATTTCGCGGCTAGAATTTTGTTATAATTATGTTGAAGTAGACTTAGTTAACAATATATATGTTGTTTTCTTAACAGTACCCTCTATTTTACAAACGACAACAACTTTTGTGGTAGGTAAATAGCTATATCAAGTGTTATTGTGTATAAGTGGTATTTATTATAAACATTCGAAGACTTTGTTTAAATACAGTGTGGGTACATTTATCTCACGTATGTATATTATTACTTTTTACTTATTACTATCATCTTAAATCTGTTAAATTTGAGGTAGGTACATTACGATATATCAGAATCAACATTGTCAACATCAATTATTTTGCGAACTTACTAAGAGGAGATTTGTATATTTGGTGGTGAGCCAAAATCTAAAAATAGTAATTAGTAATAACGTTCTTACCAGTGCGGGCTAGAAATTGTTAGAATTATAATTTTTCTATTCATAAAATGCAGTATTAAATAAACATAGAGACTAAGTTTTCCTGTCCAAAGAACTTTTAAACTTTGCTTGAGAGTATAACCGAAGACAAATTGTTACATAGCGATTCCACATAAATAAAAGCAAGGATTTTGAACCATTTCTTCTATCTTTTTATAGGAGGTCTATATTGATAATGTAAATAGGTAAATTAAATAAATTAAGAAGCTGTAAATATTATAAACGTGAATAATATTATGGATATTATGGGTTCTATGGGAATACTAATCCTCTAATCCTACTAAAACAGTACTGCATCTTGTCAGAGCAGTCGTCTTTTCAGGATAAAGTTGATATAAACTAAAATGTGAAAAGTATGATTGATGATTATATGAATGTGAAGACCTACCTATGTATTTTAAGAAGAATCCCGATGTTATTCCTATTATGTAGTCATCTAATATGAATACCTACTTATGTTGGAGCTTGAATATGTTAAATTAAAAATTATTGATTAATGGCAACAGATAAATATTATAGTGATACATACACAACTGATAAATATTATACATAGATATCTACTATAGTACACAGTGATGGCCTCGGTGGTCTAGCGGTTTAGCACACCATTTTTCTTTTGATGGTCGTGGGTTCGTTTACGATACAAATATTTGTATTCATGAGTTTGATTGTTTATATCTGTCTGGGTGATGTCTATGTATTAACGAAAAATTATGTATCAGTTGTCTAGCACCCATAACACACTCTGGTTACCTTGGGACTACAAGCTGCTGTGTAAATTATCCAGGGTTATTATTATTCTAAACAATGCCTAATGAAATCCTAAGATTAATTGTTAGTTGCAAAAGTTATTATAATCAACTAAATGACTTATGGATGAATGGAATTGGCTGACAATATCCTATGAAATTTTAGTTATTATTTACGTTAGGTCATATTAAGCGTTTTTTATACGGCACTACTTAATACCGATATTAACGTATGGAAACAAAATAATAGGTAAGGTAGCAAAAATAAAAAATCAGGATTAAATCCATTTACAAATACGGTATAATTTTAAATTTAAAAAGACTACGATTTTTTTAAATTTAGGCTACTTACCTACCTATTGTCAGATAAGAAGTACCTATTATAAAATAATATACTTTTTGTTAACCACATAGATACCCGCGATTTTACCCTACACACTTATTTTATTTACTGTTTTACATTTCTGTGTCAAATCTTAAGGGAATTAGATAAAAGGTATTTAGATTGCAAGCTATCCATCAATGAAGTAATTATTGAAATACAAACAGCGGACTAACTGATGACCTGCCTGATGGAAAGACACTCATGCGTTGCATCAAAAGATTGGAATTTTCTGCCATACTTTGCTCTTTAAATTGGCACTTAAGTTTCAAAATAAGTTGCTGGCGGCAGAATTAGCTTGAATGGATATTTCCATTCCCCTGTAAGCAACTTTGTAAAAAGTTGCAATCCAATCAGTCTGGCACTCACATATCTTTATTTTGTATATTAACGTAACTTTACTCTTCATCTTTTAAATTACTCTACGGATTTTAATGAAGTTTTCAGCAATAGATACAGTGACTCAATAGGAAGGTTTGTATGGATAACACATGCGTGTTATAGTATAGGACAAGACAAGAAATTCAAAGAATGCACCTGTGCGATGCCGAGATGGGTTCATAATATTACATAAAATAATAGTCGGAATACTCTATCTGTTCTCTATATTGCTCATTACTTAAAAGATTTCTTAACATATTGTTAAGCTATTTAACTTCAATATACTTAGCTTAATAACTAGATAATTGATGTAAATTAAATACATAGTATTTGAGCATGATAGTAGGTATCATAGCTTATTATCACACTCTAAGAACAGTCCGGCCATATTTAAAAGCGAACTAATTTGGTGGTAGCAATTAATCAAAACAAAAAGGAAGCTCATGCTCGTGCAAGTGTAATTATTATGCACATTAATTAACATGGTCCCTCGAGGTTGCTGTTACATAAATTATTCAGTACGGTATACTGGCACGCAATGTGCTACCTTATTTATGCGTTTTAACATAATGGTTATATATGTACATACAGTAGTTTTTGGGTTGCTCGCTACTGGTTTCGTAGATAATTATATAGGACTATATGTAATAAATAATTATGACAATAGATAAACGAGAATAAATTTTGAATGTTATGTTTGGGTATAAAATTAAATTATTGTCATCATAAAGATCTCAGTTCCGCCTATGCATAGGCGCAATATCAAAATAGAGCATGTGGTTTTGTATTTTTTTTTTAATTTCTAGTTGAATATGACAACTATATTGGTGATAACATAAAATATTGGTTGCTATGTGCACATTGTTGACCTTTTCTTAGAAGCTTTTTTTGAAAAGCAGGTATTTCTTCTACTGAAAACCATAACACTGCTACAATAACCAAATTAAAAAGTATGTGTAAAATACCTATTTGTAATGTTTTAATAAAAGAAAATGACATTTCTGTCTTTTTCTGCAATATTTATGTTATTAATATTGTATGCTTTAATTTATTAATTTCGGAGCTATTACAAAGACATGTTTTACAAATAATTAATATATTTGTACCCAATTAATGATTTCATTTATAAATAATATTTTACAACGACATGAGAAGAGCTATATTATGAAATTTCATTTATACAATGAAATAATTTCATTTAACCATGAAAGACAAAATAAATCCCCTCTTTTTTCCAACGTCGTATAACAAATATTGATTTAATTTATTTTTGTTACAGCAAATGGTTCCTTCCAACCCGGAATGGAACCTAAACGGCAGCGAACAGCATACACACGGCACCAAATATTAGAATTGGAGAAAGAATTCCATTACAACAGATATCTAACAAGAAGAAGACGAATAGAGATAGCCCATACTCTAGTCCTGTCGGAAAGACAAATAAAAATCTGGTTTCAAAACAGACGGATGAAGTGGAAGAAGGACAACAAACTGCCCAACACCAAAAACGTTAGAAGAAAAACCAACCCAGCTGGAGTTACGACAACGGCGAAAGGGGGCTCCACACCAAAGAGTAGATCAAATAAGAATACAAACAACAATGATAAGAAGAAATCCAATAACAATGGACGACCAGACAGTATAGAGAATGTAACTGATAACATTATGAATGACTTACATTGTGTTGGTTCGCAACAAAACTTGTCGCATGATCCTGCCATCAGTCCAATGTCGCATCCGGGGAATCAGATGAACGCCGGTCATCCAATCACACCTCATCATCTTCATATGATGAGCATGCACGGAATGGACCCGGCTATGGTTGCTAATCTCTCCACTCACGGCTCGCCTGTTGGTGCCAATGGTTGTGGAACAGGACTCAATCCTGGCAACCAGCCAGTGATAAAATCAGATTACGGTCTCACCGCCTTATAATCTTTAAAGTGTAAAGAAGCTATATTTTGATTAACGAACTATGTAACATTTACCATTCCTTTGTGTTGATAAGATGTAATAAAGTGATGATTATTAAATAATAAGTTTACTATTATAAATCGTGTAAGTATTCCTAGGATACACAGTCATAATTGGATGTTTGCGTAATTAAGTGGAAAACTTTACAATGTCAAAAGTGTGATTATTATTATTTTAGGATAGATATAAACATCTGAGTGTTGAATTTGTACATTTCATTGTAAGTCATTGTCCTCAACTATAAATATATTTATTTAATAAACGTAACGATTTGTATTTATGTAATTTTAAACCTAAACGCAGTATTTTTGATTGTAAGATTATTATGTACTAGTAAATATATCAGTTCTTAAAAATCAACAATACTTTTTGTCTAGTTACCATTGTATTAAATATTAAATATATACTATTCTGTTTAATTTGCTTAGGTAGCTACTCCGTAGATTTTTTTTTTCATTATGTATTGTGTTAAATATACAAGTGCGACGATTTGAAATCCACGAATTCAAAGTTGATGTGAAATAAATAAGATATGATCACAACAACAACTGATGTGTATTATGATTTTACATCATATTCTATATATAATTATGTTATATAACTTCTAATTATGTAAATTTATTATTCTGCAACCTATTTATATTTTATTTTTTCTAAATTTAGATAGAGATAGATTGATTAGAAAATCGATAAAAGCTTTAAATATTAAATATACGATCTGAAAAAACAAACAACTACAGATATTTTAAAAATACACTAAATGAAAATTAAGTACATTTGAACCAATCAAGGTTGATTGTAACTCAATTTTATTAGGGTAAAAAATATAATACAGAATTAATAAATTAATTAAATTCCAATTAGTAAATCATCCAGTGGTTTTCTATTTATGATCAAAACTAATTTAAATATATTTATTAAAGCACTCAGTTAATAATTAACTTCTACTATCTAAATGGAATATAATGCATTTCGGTATATAAATGTGTATAATATATGGTATATTTAAATATACTACCTGGCTTTGCCCGTGTAGAAACCGTAATTTCACACTCAATCTCGAAACTGTTTTTGGAGAATCTTGGAGCTTGCCTGCGTAATAAAAGGAACTTGTATTAAAAAATATACATCTTAGCCCCAGGCCATGCCATTTATGCCTTGTATTGATACTGTATTATGTTTATGACTCGATAGCTCTTCTCTGGGTTACTTTACAAATGGTCAGGTATTGTTACACTATTTTTATATAGATAAAAACCTGTGTATAAAAATCTCTATGCTTAGATTTTTATATATTATTCATAATAACCTACAGCTATGAGGCTCTTTAATTAAGCATTATAATGCTTTTTTTGGTTTCAATGTAGTTGTAGAAACAGTTTTAATTTGTTATTCTATTATAATAGCTAGTTAAAATTTTATGACGAAATAGTTTTTTTTTAATTAATTGCTTTTGGAGATGTAGACAATGACTTAGATTTAAGTACAAATTGTGAAATTTAATTTTAATTGAACAAATTGTTTTGTAACTAAAATAGGACAACTGTGAATACAAACCAATAAATATTAGTATGATGATAATATTCATAGTTTTTTTCTAGCTAAATAAAAGTTACACGTGTATCTACTATATTGCCCAAATTTACAACAACTAATCTACTACTAGTAGTAAACGTAGTAAGTATACGTTTTCTGTCATTAATGTTTTAAATAAGTTGAAATTCCAGACAAGGACATCAAAATTCTGTATGGATTATCAATCCATTATAGGACACAAGTAATTTACATGACTGTCATAACCATAATCTGGAAGATAGGCAATATTTTTGGATTTCTGAAATTATGTTTAATGTAAAAACCAATGTCTCTAAAGCACATATTACAATATTCTGAAGGTTTTATTGTATGAAATGATTATGTCTAGTCAATACTAGGTATAATAATATTATAAAGATATAAAGTTTATTAGTTTGGACGTTCTTAGTAATGTTTGGGTACTGAACGATTTTGAAAAATCATTAAATTTTTTGACGACGTCTATAGTCAGTCTTTCAGACGTCATAGGGGCGAAATTGCACGGAAAAATGTTGCAAAAATAGCGAAAATTTGACGTAGAGTAATATATTTGAGATAGTTAAAAGAAATGTTACGTATCTTAAACTAAAATTTAATCTGTAACAATCTTGTGTAAGTAATAGAATAATCGTCCTTATTTTGCTATTATAATTTAGATTATTAATAATATCAAAGTAATTTTACTTAATACACATAAATTATAGCACATTTTTGTTCATTACTTCATTATTATCTTTAAGTACAGCTCGAAACATCTACTCATTTCGCATTAACAGTCCCCGTGAACATCTCGCCTACGCACCGATCATTCGTACCCATCGCTTCGATATCATAACCTTGTGACATTCGTATCGAATGAAATGAAAGCAAAAATCGTAATGTATTCGTTCAATGCGCCGTCATCAATCAACGTCGGCGGCTCATTGTGTGGCCGGCACGCAACGAACGTATCTTCGACTTACTTTGTATACACGACCTCTCGCGCCGGGTACACGGTTTTATCATTCCGATACAAAGCCATTGCGATTGTTTTAAAAATTCAATTGTTGATGACAGATGTGCGAATATGCGAGCCTTTAGGGACGATACTTATTTTGCGATGTCAACAGTATTTGTTAGTCATTGATAAAGATATACGTGTAATAGGTCGCATATTGATCGGTCTGCAATTAAAAACCTTTCATAATCTGCGAGTAATGCATTAAATAAGATAATGAAATGAAGGTAGAGAATTCTCAGAATAATTGTATTATGTTTTTGGTAGTTGAAATATAAAATTTAATAACCTTTATAAACATAACCATAGGATAAAAATGAAAGATATTTAGACAATGGTTTATGATATTGATAACTTAAAAAGGATTCATAATATTAATCTTATTGTATTATTTTCGATTGTAAGACATATTATTAAGAGAAGAAATTATAATATAAGATAATGACGGCCTAGCGGTCTAGCACACTGCTTTACGTCCGATGGTCGCGGGTTCGATTCCTCGCAGGGCACAAGCATTTGTATTCATGAGTATGATTGTTTGTATCGGTCTGGGTTTTTACTATGTATAATATGTATGTATTTACGAAAAAAAATTATCTATGTATTTGTATCAGTTATCTAGCACACATAACACAAGCTTTAGCTAGCTTAACTTAGGTCTTGGGTCTTGGCGCTGTGTGAATTGTCCTGAGATAAAAGGTAATGGAAACAAGAGATAACAAAAAATGTACTTATCAATAATAATATTTCAACAAAGATAATAGAAGATTACTTCTATCAATTGACATTATATCATTCTCATTTACAAATCGAATACAAAACAAACTAAGGCAAGTGACTAATCCACTTAGTAACTTTGCAATATATTTATAACACAAAAACTTGCTGGTACAAAAAAATAGAAAGAAGCAAAAACTCCTAGCAGAAATGTACAAATTAGTAGATAACAATATATTCGTAAATCAAGCTTTCTTAAGTAATGTCGTTTTCTTGTAACGGCGCGTCAAAGAGTTAAAAATTTTAATAGTAAACAATAACGCATTGTTGCAAAATTTGTATGCAAATAACAAGATTAGGCTACCGTCTCCTTTTGTTGATTTTACGGTGTCACTGTCGACGGTTGCAATTTTTGTTTCTTGTCCCCTGAGACTATTTTGTTAGGTCCGTTCGGTAGCTATTTACAGTTATCTCTCGGAAATATTTCTCTTAGTATCTACATTTATTTCATATACAGTTAGTTGTACTATAGGTACTAATTATTAATTTATAGGATTTATCCACACTGAGTTATTTATTGAACATTTATTTCAATAGGTAAGTAATTAATTTACTTTAATATCTACTTATACTTACTCGTATTTCATGTTTAGTGACAACTATTCGTAATAACTTTAATACATTTTAATAACAAGACATCGTCTTGTAATTGTGGAAATATGATTAAAATAATGTATAGGTACCGGTTATAAGTAAGAAAGTTTAATGAACTTAAGATCATCAAGACAACAATGAGATTGAAATTCTAGATAGTAATTGAACCTCATTACATCGGTATAGTGTACGCTTGCCATTCATCAGCATCTCATTCACATATATGAGGGACGAGAAAGGAAGTAGAGATCATCCAGCATGAAATAGTAAGATATTAATAGAGGAATGATATAACAAACAGCGAACGTGGTATGGATAACTAAAATTTCGAAATATGCTTCGTTTAATTTCGTATTCGACCAAATGATGTATTTTGATATACCTATTGTGGTTTAACTATTGCAAGCGTGGTATTGAAATACATAATGGTAATAAATGGTAACAAAGTTTTATTTTTAATTGTCTTCATAAAGAAGAGGTTACATGATATATTTACGAAATCTATAACAATATTAATAATGCTGTCAATGTGATTTATCACATCGGCTTGGTCTTATTTTGTCATTACTAAATTACCTACCTACTTGCATATTTTTGACCTATATTTAAGCAATGATTATACCCATATATACATCCGTCGATTCTTGATCCCTGGGCGGCGTGAAAGAATATATAAAAAGTAGCTAATTTTTCTGTTTTTGAGCTGAGTGGGCTAAAACCCACATTCTATAAATTCTTATATCGTGATTAGTGTCCAATAATTTACCCTTACTACTTAAATAGATTTAGATACTAGTAGACGGACTACAGTTCATTTGAAAATAATAAGCGTGTCACTACTAAACGAATTACCTTGATATTAATAAATTATTAAAATTGGTCGCCAATGTAATCAATTAGACGATGTAAATTATGCTATCTCTGCTATACTAAATTGGTTCACATGTAATAATCTATTATTGAACTCCAACAAAACTAAGTGCATTAAATTCACGCTGCCTAATGTAAAACAAGTAAATACGCAGCTATTGCTTAATGATGAAATAGTAAATTTTGTTAATGATACAGTTTTTTTAGGAATAACAGTGGACTCGAAGTTACAATGGGGGCCCCATATTTCAAAATTAGCCAGTAGACTTAGTTCTGCTGCTTATGCAATTAGAAGGATAAGGCAATTAACAGACGTGGCGACGGCAAAACTTGTATATTTTAGTTATTTCCAAGCATTATGTCATATGGCATACTGCTATGGTATAAATACTATATTTATTTTACAAAAGAGAGCCATATTCTATTTATGGTATGGGTGAGAGTCTTCGTCAAAAGCTTTAAACAATCAAATATCCTCACCGTTGCCTCACAGTACATTTATGAAAATATTATGTATACAAGGAAAAACTTAGATAGTTTCAAGAAACTTAAAGACTGTACAAGTAGAAACTTACGCAATAAAAATAAGATAATTTTACCTAAATGCCGTCTACA